CCTTCATTCTCTGATTTTGCAGAATTACTTGCTTCACTTTCCAAGGGGTGGCAGCAGAGCACACGCCATAATCTCCAGTGTACTTTTGATCAACTTTTAGTTTAGTTTATTGGGGAAAATGTTACAGTTCCAAACCAGAGATGGGCGATTCCAGATCACCAACTGCTCCATGGGAGAAAGATGGACAGTGTCCTTCCATGCAATTTAAAACCTCTGAAAACCCACTGGAAGGTCAGCCATGAGTTGGCTCCAACTCAGCAGCAATGTACAACAACATCACAAAGGTATATAGTTTTAGAGCTGACAGTCAGCTGACAATCTAAGACTGTTTTTAGTGGTGGAAAAGACTGGATAGCCAACTTGTCTGATTGTAAAGAAAACAGATCTGCAAAACCTGTGGAATTTACCTCTAAGAGAAATTTCTAGAGACAAAGTCTCATTTTCAGTGTATATACTGAGGAAAAAAGAAACACCATGGTGCACAGTTGTGAATTTTACTATGTAATGAATTTTTTTTAATTTTTATTTATTTATTTTTAATTTGGGGTACCGTCAAATTGGATCCAGCTGGTACAGGAGATTTCCCCTCCTCCAGCAGAGCATCTGGTGGATTCAAACCATCCACCTTTGGGATTGCAGTGCAGCTTCTTGCCACTAGGTCACCAGAGCTCCTATGTAATGAATTTTCTATGACCTGGTCCATATTTTCATACTTAAAACAGAATTGCAAAGCCAGTATTGGGACTTGTTGCACTTTTATTTACTATTCCATTCATTTCTGTTCTTTTTTCTTACTAGTCACTTAGAACCTAAGTCCATTACACTTAATATTGTGTACCCTGCTTTCCAAACTTTCTGACCAGTTTCTGTTGGACTCTGGAGATATGAAATTGTACTATTAAAGTTGGCATGTTGGACTACTGTGCAAACTTAGTAATTAGGAGGAAGTTAAGACTTCTTGGCAATCTTCCCAATTGCTCTTTTTTTTTGCCCCCACTTGTTCTCCCATGACACTAATAATTATAACTATTAGACTTCTCATGGCCCTCAATGACCTGATCTATAAAATAACCTCAGGAAGTAACTTTCTTACAGACTTATTAAATAATAAACAATTTTCAAAGTGACATCACATTTCTTAAGATGCCTTGGCTTGTACCAGATCCTTTGTCTGCAAGATATAAATCAGCTTCATTTACACTGGCAGTTATTGTAATAAAGTCAGCCTTCAGCTCTGGTCAGAGCAGATTTTGAGCTGTTAGTTTTTGTGGTTTTTTGTTTGTTTTTGTTTTTTTATTGAGCTGTTAGTTTTATATCTGTGTTTCTATCTCTTCTATTTCCATTGCTTCTTGTTAACTTCATAAAACTGATAATTTAAGGCTTTTTAATATTGTAAATAACTTTGTTCTTAATTCAGTAAGCACAGATTAACATTTCTGAGGAAAACAGTTTTCTTTGGCCTCCCTAAAGTAAGCTGATGAGACCAAGAAATGTATAATAAAAGAAATAACCTATTGTGTAGTATCTGTATTTTCCCCATAACTTCCTTTTTTTGCTTGTGGGTTTTTTTTTGGTTTGTTTTTAGCAGACTCATTGATATTTAATTAATATATTATCCCATCAGTCATCCATATTGTAGCATGTATCAATACTTCATTCTTTTTATGGCCAAATAATACTTCATTTTGTGAGTATTAATAAATTGTATCAGTCTGCCTGGTTTGGGGAGTTTGACTTTTAGAAAAGTTCTAAATATACATATATAGGTCTTTATTGGACATATTTTCATTCTTGGAAATATAGTTAAAAATAGAATTGCTGAGCACGAGTTTCCTGAAGTGTCCATATCATTTTAAATTCTGACCAGTAAGGTTACTTACTGACCATAAATAAGATTGAAGTTTCTCCACCTTTTCACCAAATTCACTGTCTGTTGATTGTAGCTGTCCTGTCCTAGAGTGTATGAAGTGATACCTCATTATGATTAATTTGTATTTTCCTGAGGACCAGCAGTGTTGAGTGTCTTTGCATAATAAGGTCTGCTGATTATATGGGGTTTTTTTAATTAATTATAATAAAAGTTTACAGAGACTTTGGATTTCTGTTCATTCATTGTTGCACTTTTCTCCCTGCCCACCCCTCCCCCCAATTATGTGTGTCTTGTAGAGGTTCTATAAGTTCTTTATCACATACATGATTTGTAAATAATTTCCTCCTGTTTTGTGTTGTCTTTCTTTCTTAATCATGTGCCCTGAAAAAAAAGTCTACATTAAGGAATATTATCTATTGGCTTTGTTGGTGTGTGTTTTTTGTGTGCCATCAAATCAGGTCTGACTGATACAGGAGGAGATTGCCCTCCTTCTCCAGCAGAGCCTCTGGTAGATTTGAACTGCTTACCTCTGGGATTGCAGTGCAGCTTCTTGGGGAGATACTGTGAACTTCCTGGGTATTTTGACATCTTGTTTTTATTAGGAAAAATAAATACTTTTTGAAATTGGTGTAGTTTTTCATTTTCTAACATTTAAATGATCCAGGAGGTATCAAAAGAAGATGGAAGGAATATACTGAGTCACTGTATCAAAAGGAATTGGCAGATAGAGAAGAATTTAATGAAATAGCATTTGAGCCAGAGCCTATGGTGATGGAGGCAGAAGTTCAAGATGATTTGAAGGAAATAGCAAAAAATAAGGCCCCCGGAATAGATGGTATACCAATTGCCATATTTCAGCTAACAGATGCTGCTGTGGATGTGCTCACCAAGTTGTGCCAAGAAATCTGGAGAACAACCACTTGGCCAACTGACTGGAAGAGATCTATATTTGTTCCCATCCCAAAGAAGGGCGACCCAACTGAGTGTGGAAATTACAGAACAATATCATTGATTTCACATGCAAGCAAAATTCTACTGAAGATTATCCAAAAATGACTGGAACAGTACATCAGCAGAGAACTGCCAGAAGTCCAGGCTGGGTTTAGAAGGGGTCGTGGTACTAGGGATATCGTTGCTGATATTAGATGGATCTTGGCTGAAAGCAGAGAATACCAGAAGAATGTCTATCTGTGTTTAATCGATTATGCAAAGGCATTTGACTGCGTGGATCATAACAAACTGTGGCTGACTCTGAGAAGAATGGCAATCCCAGAACATTTAATCATGCTAATGCGAAACCTATGAGTCGCAGGCGACTCGACGGCACATAACAGCAACAACAATGCGAAACCTATACTTGGACCAAGAGGCAGTAGTCAGAACAGAGCAGGGCAACACTGCATGGTTCAAAATTGGGAAGGGTGTATGCCAGGGATGTGTCCTGTCTCCATACCTTTTCAACCTGTATGCAGAACAGATTATCCGAGAGGCTGGGCTCTATGAGAAGCGTGGCGTTAGGATTGGTGGACGATCTATCAACAATCTGCATTATGCAGATGACACAACCCTGCTCGCTGAAACTGAGGAGGACCTCATGCACTTACTGCAGAGGGTCAAGGACAGCAGCCTTCAATATGGACTGAGGCTCAATGTCCAGAAGACAAAAATTCTCACCACTCGACCAATCGATAGCATCAGGATGGATGGTGAAGAGATTGAGATTGTTCACAGCTTCAGTTTGCTTGGCTCCACGGTCAACACTCTTGGCACCAGTAGCCAGGAAATCAAAAAACGTATTGCGATGGGAAAGTCTGCAGTTAGGGACCTCTCTAAAGTACTCAAGAGCAACGGTGTCTCTCTGGAGACTAAGGTGCGCCTGATACAGGCCATGGTTTTTGCACTCACTTGTTATGCATCAGAGAGTTGGACAGTGACTAGGGAGGATAGAAGGAGAATTGACGCCTTTGAGCTGTGGTGCTGGAGAAGAGTACTGAATGTACCATGGACTGCCAAGAAAACAAATAGATTCATCCTGGAGAGGGTTAAACCAGGCTGCTCCTTGGAGGCAAGGATTCTGGGGCTTCACCTGACATACTTTGGACATGTTGTAAGGCGGGACAGGTCTTTGGAGAGGGACATCATGCTGGGCAGAGTGGAGGGACGGCACAGGAGGGGAAGACCCTCTATGAGGTGGATTGATTCTGTGACTGGGGTAATCAGGATGGGTGTGTCGGAGGCAATGAGATTGGCACAGGCTAGAGCAGGGTTTAGGGCTGTTGTGCATAGGGTCGCTATGAGTCGCAAATGACTCCAAGGCACATAACAACAAACATTTAAATGGGCTATTAGATTTTGATGACATACTTTTGGTTGTTTCAAGTCTGACTCATTGTTGTTGAATCACAACTGACCCTCCGTTGGATTTCCAAGGCTGTAAAATACATAAGAGGAAATGGCCCATCTTTCATCTGAGGAGCCAGAGATGCATGGTCTTTCATTAAGAGAAAAGGGACTGGTGGCCACTCTTCTGTTATTAAAAATTTTGACCCTATTTTTAAGTTCTAGAAACTTGTTTGACTGTCCAGAATTGATCAGAATCTCTCAATACCTTGCTTTTACAAATCATGTCTTTATAGAGTGTGGTTTTGTTTGGTTTAATTGTAAAAAAAAGATGTATGGATATCCAGTGGGGTCAGGTGTGGCTAGAGATGAAATAATAGGGTTACACAATTTGGTGGGTGAGGGAGTAAAGGAAATGAGAAAGATCTGGTGGAGACTAGCAGATTAGAGCGTGTGTATGCTTTAATTTATGTACCATCTTGTCATATTGAAGAGCACTCAACCCACTGCGTGCCAGCCTTTGAGCTTTCCTTTATCCAGGCTTTCTTCTTTGTCTTTGAAGGGATGATATATTCCTCAAACATCCTTTCAAGTGCCTTACTTCTTTACATAGCTAATTTCATTTATTCAAATAATAGAACTGCTACTATATTTTGAACATTGTGTATTTGACTTTGGGTGCATTTTCAAATAATACTGGCTCTTACTCTTCCTTTACAGAATGACAAGAATGGATTTGCATTGTCTACTTGTGTGTTATTAATCTAATGAATTGTTCTTTCTTCTACAGCAATGGCACAAGCATGATATCACTGATCATTCCTCCCAAAGACCAGATATCACGAGTGGCAAAAATGTTAGCAGATGAGTTTGGGACTGCATCTAACATTAAATCACGAGTCAACCGCCTTTCAGTCCTGGGAGCCATTACATCTGTACAACAAAGACTCAAACTTTATAACAAAGGTAATCTGGGGCTTGTTCATTTTCCTCCTCTTTTTAGCTGCCATGGTTCTGTTTTCCACTTGAATGCTGCATACTTTGGTCCCCTACTTATGTTTCCTTCATCCTTCTGTCACCACTACCTCTTAACTTTTACTTTTTTCCTTTTTCTTAAATCTGTTTATTGAAGATTAACTATTTGTTACTGCATTTTAAAAAGGGTGAAGAATTCAGCCTCTGAGAGATGTGAATTTTTCTTTCTTTCTTTTTTTTTTATTTTGCGTCCCTGGGTGGGCATGAAGAAAATTCTTATAAATTATGATCTGTCTTGTTGGACAAGGACGATAGGCTGTGGGAACATTTTCTGCTAACTGATGGAAATTGGCTGTGGTTTTAAGTAGAGACACTGTTTGTTGTTTGCAGTACCTCCAAATGGTCTGGTTGTTTACTGTGGAACAATTGTAACAGAAGAAGGAAAGGAAAAGAAAGTCAACATTGACTTTGAGCCTTTCAAACCAATTAATACGTCATTATATTTGTGTGACAACAAATTCCATACAGAGGTAAGAAGTTCACGTACAACATTTTCATCACTCCAGTAAGAAATTCATTTACAGTCACTCCCCATTTCCTCTAGTTATCCAAGACATAGGTAACCACTAATCCACTTTTTGTCTGAGAATTTTCATATAATAATCACTTTTCATGACTGACTTTATTTTTGAGGTTCTTCATTTTTTTTCATTTGTGACCTGTGTTTTCATTTCTTTTAAGTGTATATGTATTTAGGTATGGAATTACTTGGTTGTTATTACCAGCCTAGTGGATGTGCAGGGATATCTTTGAGGTTTGATTTGTATTTTCTTGAAGGCATGTCATTTGAATTCATCACTCCACTAGGAGAACGGTGGACAATCTCTCATGATATGTACTCTCTCTTAACCACTGAAAGATTCTTCTGTGGGTCGATTCTGACATGATGGTGCATACAACAAAGACAGATGATGTTACTTATCTTCTTGGGTACTTTTTGATCATTTGTCTTTAGGAAAATACCTATTCCAGTCCTTTTCCCATTATTAACCATGATTCTTTGTCTTGTAAGCATTTTATCTCTTCATTTCTATTTAGACATGTGATCTCGTTTGAATTGATATTTTTTTATTGTATGATGAATGAATCCAACTTAATTTTTTTAATATGAATTTCCAGTCGCACCCCCTTTTGAAAAAGCCATATGCTTACTTCATAGTTAATTTTTTAAATTTATTTCTAACCCCAGAATCCTGTGTCACTATATGCTTAAATGCTTGAGAAAAAGCATCTTTAAAATTACTAGCTTTTCAAGATATCTATTTTAATGAAAGGGACATGCATGTGAAGCCTTGAGTTTCTCATTCTGAGTTTGTAGAACTTTGTTTAAGTGTAGGCTTGGCACTTGCATAACTCCCATGAGTGAGCGTCTCCTTTTCCTTGGCCCCACAGCTGTTAAGACAAGAAGTTTTCTTGAGTTTTTAATCCTATTTCTCTGCCAGTTTGTTCTTGCCAATTTGATGAATAACTAAAATGTTATTTCTAAACATGTTCTTTAATTAACTAGAAAGTCCCTAAAGTTGTCTTAGGAGAGAAGCCTACTCTTGAGAAGACTTGTAAAAGGATGTAATGAAAATGCCATTAGCTCCAGCAACCCTTTGAGCGAGCCAGGTTTCTGTTAACCTTTTCTGTCTTGAATTTATTATGACTCTCATCATTGAGCATGTTTGAGGAGAGTGCTGAATTGGGTTTGGAGGACTAATTATAGACAAATAACTGGCTATTTGATTGTTGTCTCATTCTATGTATAAGTGATACTTGTCTATATTTTTTTTTTACAACCATAGCTTTCCACTCACAAATTGTAAATTTAATAGGAAGGTTCTAATAGGGGTTTTTTTTGTTGTTGTTGTTTTCTAATCAAACTTTTGAGTGACAGAGCAACCATAAGATGAACTTTAATGGTGGAAAAGAAACCTCATTAGAGTGACCTAAATCAGTCAACGGTGGAAAAATCAGGAATTCACAGCTGACTCCAAGTTCAATCTCTTGCCTTTCATCAACCTAGGAAAACCTCTAAGTAGAATTAGAACTGACATTTGTTGACACAGTTTACAATGGACTTTTGCTGAATTGACAGGAATTCTGATTCCATTTGGATCTTGGTGGACTATATAGGAGATTGAGATCTTTTTCTCTTAGTTACTACAGCTTCTTTCTCTTAGAAACTTTATTGAGGAGACTTTTAGCTACTGGGTCACACTTAACCCATATCTGATTTGATGAAAATAAGTTTTAAGTTGTAGTAATTTAAACTCTACCTGATACTGATAGGTTTTAGCACACTTACTAAGTTAATTAAGCCTTACTGGTTTTTCTGAATCATAACTTACCTTCCAACGTATTATATAATCTTGATAGCTTTGTTTATTTTGGTTTTAGAAGATACATTGGTAACTATAAAGTAATAGAGCTTATTGTACAATATAATTTATGCCCTTCTTAGCCTATTAATCTATTCCCTAGTAAACAAACTTTTTTTTTTAAATTACATTTATTTATTTTTCATTTCAATGACCATCTACAGCGATTTTGGAATTCCATTCATTCATTGTTGCACCCTTCTCCCTGCCCACCCACCCCCCTAAATAAACTTTTTTTTTTTAGCAGAATTAACAAAGTTTATTTCGAGTTCAAACCCAAGCTCCTGCGTGCTGACACAGCAGCATCCACCCTAGAGCCTCGAATCAATGTCTGCCCCTCCTTTTATACCTCTGCTACTCCCCTGCCCAACCATACACACCATGATTGGCCATCCACAGTAGTTTGGGTATTTG